ACGAGTGAAACTTTGAATATTTTGAATTTAGAAAATTCGATAATTGACTAACTCTGATAAAAAAAAAAAAAAATTAGCTTTTCCAATTGCTCACCTGTGATTGGATTTTGGAAACTCGCACCGAACTATGGGAATCGGAATATATGACAATGGACGATGATGGTTATTATCAAGTGCCTGGTGATGTTTTGGAAAAATTCCAAACAGATTTGAATTCATTGCGCAGCATTGTTGAGGATATACCGGTAAGAGAAACGAATCGATGAAATAGTTGAATGCATTAATGCAATTGTTTTTTTGTGTTCTATTTTCAGAGCGGCCAGTCACGTATCTATTTGTATGAGGCCGTGTGTCGCCTTATGGCCGGAGCCTCACCGGGACCAACGCAACAGCTGCTGGATCGTAGCCTACGCTATAGACATGCCAAATCTTCAATTATTTGCGGTGGCAAGGACAAAAATCACAATTTGGAGGGTGGTGAACGGGAACGGGCCGCTGCCATGTATGTGGCATGCAAGTATTTGCCATCGGCCTTACTTTGTTCGCCGGGTGAACGGGCCGGTATGCTGGCCGAGGCTGCCAAAACATTGGAAAAAGTTGGCGACAAACGTAAACTCAAAGAATGCTATCAGCTGATGAAATCGTTGGGCAGTGGTTCGGCCGTTACTAATTAAAGACTTTGTTTTTGAAATACATTAATTTTCCTTAGGTTATAATTTCAAAGGCGTATATAATATATATGTATTTTTTTAACTATTCTTAAGTCTACCCAATGTTAATGAGTTTTTGGTAATTTTTTTTTTTCAAAAAAGTGTTTTGTTTTTTTTCGCTTCACATTTTTTGGTGATTTTTTTTTTTTCAAAACTTTGTGCAGGCCTAGCTATATTTTTGAAAATAATATTTGCATCCCGTTTTTTTTGTTTGTTTGATTTTTTGCTTGTTATGATCCAAGAAAGTAAATATGTATGTAGTTCAGTAAAAAAAAAATATCAATAAAGCTAAAAGTAACCAATGGTGTAATAAGAAATGGATGTATTTTAAATTTTTTTTCTTGGTCAAAAATAACTTTTTTGGATCTCCTAGATATTTCTGAAAAGTAAAAGGTTATGGTTTGGTTCCTCTAATGGCCCATCTAAAGAAGTTTTAAAAAATCATCATTGGAAACTCTGATGGTTCTGATGGAAAAGTCAGGAAAACCGCGTTTTGTTCTTCTCTTGAAGGTCCTTGGAAAAATCTTCTTAAGAAATGACAACCTCCCCCATAGTAGTTTGTCATTCTGTTTGTAACGCCTCGAAATATACATTTTAGACCCCACAAAGTAAATATATTTTTGATCAGCATAAAATTCTATAACTATGTCGGTCCTACCATCTGCGGAAATCACCCTAGCTTCCGAACGAAATGAAGTAGGTTGATAAAATGTTACTCAAATGTGTTACAGGAGAGATGAAAAAAACTGCAACCAACTTCAGACTGCTGACATTTCTAAGCCACTCGTCCGACAGTTAAAATTATTCCAGTGACAGCTGATTATATTGTTTACAAGCGGACACATGCGTTTTGGTGAGAATTTTCCAGAAAAAAAGTTATTCGTAATGGAATGCTGGAAAACCACAAGTAGCTATCGTTAGAGTACTCCAGCATTTAAATGTGAATAAATCTTTTGTGTCTCGTACTATCGCTCGTTACCGATACTGATACCGCTAGAGTAGCCTGCCGCCAAGGAAGTGGACCGAAGAAGAAAACAGCAACATCAGCAGAAATGCTTCGAAAAGTAAAGAAGCGACTTGATCGAAACCTACGTCGCAGTGTCCGAAAAATGGCTTGTGAGCTCAATATATCGCAATATTCCATTTGGCAAATATTGAAAAATGAGCTCGGGATAAAGCCATTAAAATTTCAAAAAATGCAAGAACTTACACCGCAACGGAAAGAAAATAGACCCCAAAAGAGCTAGAGAGTTGCTTCGCTTGGACAAATGTGGTGAATTGCCGAATTTTGTTTTCTCCGATGAGAAAATATTCGTTGTCCAGCAGTTTGTAAACAAACAAAATTATTTCAGCTCAGCTGAAAATGTGCACCTTCGGTTGGCCACCAGAACTCAAGTGCCGGCCATGGTGATGGTGTGGGCCGTCATAACAGCCGATGGTCGCTCTCCGCTCATATTGATCGATCGTGGCATCAGAATAAATGCCGAATATCATCGCCACAATATTCCGGAGGGTGTATTAAAGCCTTGGGCACGCAAACATTTTGGCCACAGACCTTGGACATTCCAACAGGACTCAGCACCATCGCACTCAGCACCTTCGCCACCCAAGAATGGTTACAAAATGAGGTTCCTCGCTTCATTTCCAGCGCACAATGGCCACCAAAATCTCCGTATACCAATCCGTTGGACTATTGTGTCTGGAGTATTTTGGAAAGCAAGGTTGGCACTAAAAAACACCAAAGTGTTGATCACCTCAAGCAAGCGCTTCGCCGTGAATGGGCCAAAATACCGCAGAACAACATTCGGGCAGCGTGTGACGGTTTCATTGGCCTTCGAAGACCATAATGTCTGCAGGACATTTGGTATAGCCCCCATATAACGGTACCTCCCGATATTCGGTATTGGAAGTTCGTATAGGATATTACAGCCTATGACAGAAAATTGTTGGTGCCGGTCCACGTCTTCGTATAGCCCACATATAACGATACCTCCCGATATTCGGTATTTTGATGATTTTAGCGACATTATTTACCGGAATTGTTCCAAATTTGGTATTTGAAGTTCGTAATGAATATTACAGCCTATGACAAAAAATACTTATGCAGCACCCAGTCTTTGTATACCTTCCATATAAAGTTTTTCATTTGAACGGTATTTTTCGTCGGATTTTTTTTAATTCTCATGGTCTGGTTATGTCTTTGTATGCCATCAATATGACCGAAGTGGCTGCCCATTCATTACATCCGCCTTGAAAGTCAAACGTAGCTATCCAAGTTATTTGAAATTCTTTGGAAGTTACTTCATTAGTCGGGCCGAAACGGAAAATTCCAAAATTCATGATCAAACCAGAGAGACCCATTGGCTATCCATTCATGGTTATTTTATTACCCATGATTTTGATTTTGTTGAGAATGAAAAAGAGAACCTCCATGTCTCGCTGTTTGCGGGCCATTCAATGTCTGTTGGGAGCTTCTTCAGGTGGCAGTCATAAGGGTCATCATCACAATAACCAACATAATGCTCAGGAAAAGGCAAATCCAACGACGACAGATGGAAATTCTGCCCCTGCCCCGGGAACCATTGTAAGCAACGTTCTGAAATACACCTCGCTACTGCGGGACACATTCTCCCATGAGAATAACGATGTGAAGAGTGAATGGTGGTCCAGTGTCTGGAAATATCTGTACATTGGCTTTTGAGTGAAGACACCTTGGCTGATAATCTTTTGGAAACCGTAAAGGCTATAAAAAATCCACGTTTTGTGGTTGTGATGGCCTTTGAAAAGATTGTTTAAAAATCCACGTTTTGTTGCTCTGATGGCCTTTGAAAAGATTGTTTAAAAAATCCACGTTTTGTGGCACTGATGGCCTTTGAAAAGATTCTTTAAAAATCCCCGTTTTCTGGCTCTGATGGCCTTTGAAAAGATTCTTTAAAAAATCCACGTTTTGTGGCACTGATGGCCTTTGAAAAGATTCTTTAAAAATCCCCGTTTTCTGGCTCTGATGGCCTTTGAAAAGATTCTTTAAAAAATCCACGTTTTGTGGCACTGATGGCCTTTGAAAATATTCTTTAAAAAATCCACGTTTTGTGGCTCTGATGGCCTTTGAAAAGATTCTTTAAAAAATCCACGTTTTGTTGCTCTGATGGCCTTTGAAAAGATTGTTTAAAAAATCCACATTTTGTGGCACTGATGGCCTTTGAAAATATTCTTTAAAAAATCCACGTTTTGTGGCTCTGATGGCCTTTGAAAAGATTGTTTAAAAATCCACGTTTTGTGGCACTGATGGCCTTTGAAAATATTCTTTAAAAAATCCACGTTTTGTGGCTCTGATGACCTTGAAAATATTCTTTAAAAAATCCACGTTTTGTGGCTCTGATGACCTTTGAAAAGATTCTTTAAAAAATCCACGTTTTGTGGCTCTGATGGCCTTTGAAAAGAATCTTTAAAAAATCCACGTTTTGTGGCACTGATGGCCTTTGAAAATATTCTTTAAAAAATCCACGTTTTGTGGCTCTGATAACCTTGAAAATATTCTTTAAAAAATCCACGTTTTGTGGCTCTGATGGCCTTTGAAAAGATTCTTTAAAAAATCCACGTTTTGTGGCTCTGATGGCCTTTGAAAAGATTCTTTAAAAAATCCACGTTTTGTGGCTCTGATGACCTTTGAAAAGATTCTTTAAAAAATCCACGTTTTGTGGCTCTGATGGCCTTTGAAAAGAATCTTTAAAAAATCCACGTTTTGTGGCACTGATGCCCTTTGAAAATATTCTTTAAAAAATCCACGTTTTGTGGCTCTGATGGCCCTTGAAAAGATTCTTTAAAAATCCGCGTTTTCTGGCTCTGATGGCCTTTGAAAAGATTGTTTAAAAAATCCACGTTTTGTGGCTCTGATGGCCTTTGAAAAGATTCTTTAAAAAATCCACGTTTTGTGGCTCTGATGGCCTTTGAAAAGATTCTTTAAAAAATCCACGTTTTGTGGCTCTGATGGCCTTTAAAGAGATTCTTTAAAAAATCCACATTTTGTGGGTCTGATTGTGTTTGAAAAAATTCTTTAAAAATCCACATTTTGTAGTTTTAATGGCCCTTTCAAAAATATTCTAAAAATATCCACGTTATATAGCTTTTGATGGTGCCTCAATACGTCCTTAAATGATTAATCTCTTGTACTTCTGATGTTACTCCAAAAAGTATTAACAAAAAAAATTCGATTGGATCTCCGATTTACTTGAAAAATCCAAGCTTAAATCTGCCCTAGTCCTTCTTGAAAATATCTCCATTTGATGAAAATTTATTCTTAATTTCTTTTATACAATGTTTATTTGAATAATTTAAGGTTAAATAATCTATAAGCATTATACAATAATTTATACCGCTCACACATACACACAGTATGTGTTAGGAGCGATTTGTTGTGACCATAACGCCTGGAGTTTTTGATTAAAAGCTAAATTGCTATTGCTTTTTATAGTTGATATTCTATTAGAAGACATTTCTACAAATGGGGCAAGTTGACTTCGAACTGGTTGTAAACCATTTGTACTGAAAGAAAATGAAAAAAAAAACATATTAAAAGGGATATTAGTCTGGAAACACTAGTCTTGGCTTACCAAACATGGCCCATGGAATTTCTTTTTACATGTTTTACATGTCAGTTTGGGTAATTGGCAAGTATCTTGATGTATGACCGTATAACAGACATAACATTCTTCAACACCTTCGAATTTCTTGTCCAAGTTGTTCTTCCACAGGGCCAGGCCATCAAATATGGTGCCGTTCTAAAGAGGGGGACATAATCAAATATTATTTTATTTCAAAATTTTCCTCAATTGTATGTACCTGATGTGTCAAAAATATGGTCAACTGCATGGCCACATTGCGTGACGAAGCCCTTCCACCGATTTGTTTGTTACAATCCACTTTGACCGAACCCAGCGGATAATTTGAGGCCAATGTTATAACCAACTCCATGCGAGCCTCATCTATGGAATACACTGCCAAAACTTCTCGTGTCGATATGTGTACGGTAACCTGCATATTTTCATGTTTATCCTTTTTCCCAGCAATGGCCATAAGTTCCTCTTGACAGATAATGGGCGACACAAAATTCGTGGTCAGCGTATCGACAAAGGTCTTTTGTCGCGAAGGACTGGTATTCCACCATTTGCGTACAACAGCGGGTAGTTTGCTCAAAACATCCGTATACAGATGGCAGGTATATTTCTCCAAGGAGAGGTTGTTATCTGAAAGGGAGAAAAAAATCGATATGGGGAATTAAAAGAGAGCTCAAAATAGTGAATTCCTATCATAGAGTAGATGGTTCCTGGAAACATCTATAATGGCGTAGATGGTCCCTGGGATCGTCTGCCATAGAGTACATGGTCCCTGGGACCATTTACCATAGAGTAGATGATCCCTGGGACCGTCTACCATAGAGTAGATGGTCCCTGGGACCGCCTACCATGGAGTAGATGGTCCCTGGTGCCGTCTACCATGGAGTAGATGGTCCCTAAGACCGTCTTCCATGGAGTAGATGGTCCATGGTGCCGTCTACCATGGAGTAAATGGTCTCTGGTGCCGTCTACCATGGAGTAGATGGTCCCTAAGACCGTCTACCATGGAATAGATGGTCCCTGAGACCGTCTACCATGGAGTAGATGGTCCCTGGGACCGTCTGCCATGGAGTAGATGTTCCCTGGGTCCGTCTACTATAGAGTAGATGGTCCCTGGGACAGCCTACCATAGAGTAGATGGTTCCTGAGGATCGTCTACCCTGAGTAGATGGTCCCTGGGACGGTCTACCATAGAATAGATGGTCCCTGGGACCGTCTACCATAGAGTAGATGGTGTCTGGGACCGTTTACAACAGAGTAGATGGTCCTTGGGACCGTCTACCATAGAGTAGATGGTCTCTGGGACCGTCTACCATAAAGGAGATGGTCTCTGGGACCGTCTACCATAGAGTAGATGGTCTCTGGGACCGTCTACCATAGTGTAGATGGTCTCTGGGACCGTCTACCATAGAGTAGATGGTCCCTGGGACCGTCTACCACAGTGTAGATGATACCTCGGACCATCTACCACAGAGTATAAGGTCACTGGAACCGTCTACCACAAAGTAGATAGTCCCTGGGACCGTCTACAACAGAGTAGATGATCTCGGGGACCGTCTACCACAGAGTATATAGTCCCCTTTTTCACAATTAAAAATTATATTTTGAATTTTTAAAAGTAGTAGGCATTGCCTAATTGGCAAGAATTAGTTTTTATTTGAAATTAAAGTCAGATAAAAAATTCCAACATTTCCCCAATCCGTAATGGCTATAAATTTCGAAGAATTACCCCATGAAATTGATGTATCGGCGGCAAACCCTGTGAGGACAACACGCACCGTCCTCGAAGAAATCAATGCCCGCCAACACTTATTGCTGGAACGCTCGGTAAAATGTAAAAACATTCCTCCCTTCTATGAGAAACCGAAAAAGCAGCCGCCACGTTATACCTACAAATATTTTTGTGTTTGTCCCCGCTATAATCCCCAATATCCCTGCCAACATAGTGGCAATGTCGTTGTGGATCGTGATGTTCTAACGCCACGCGAACACATTGTCTATTTGTCTACACCGCGGGCAAATCATGCAGCACCACGCCGAATGCCAAGATTCTATCAAAAGAAATTCATTTTGCCAAATTGTACGGCTCGAATAAATAGATTAGCTTCGCCGGATTTGAAACGTGTCTCGGAGACATTTACCAATTTTAGGCATATCCTATCGAAACGACATCGTTCCGCATTAAAGGAACATCTACAGCAAAAACCCAAGGTGGAGTATACGAGCATTGCGACAGCTTTGGAATGGATGGCCGAAGAGAGACGTCTGAAGAAGGTGGCAAAACGTATGGAACGTTTACGTTGTCAAAAGATATCACGGCAAATTCTACGCAAACAGCGTACACAAATTAAGAAAATCATTTGTGTTCTCTTTGAGGAGATGCGGGAATTTCTGTTGAATGATCAGTTCATAATGGATGATGGTTCACCATTGGTCGAGGTGATATTGGAAACATTGAGAGAATTTACAGGTAAGGGGTAGAGTTCTTAAAAAAATGGTCCCACAAAAATTAGGCCGGGTCGAACTTTAAATACCCTCCAGGAATTTAAAAAAAAAAACAAAGCAAAATCCGTTAAAAATTCTATTAAAATCTTAAAAAGACCCGAATATAGCCGTTATATTAGGGTCTATACGACAACGTGGACCTGCATAGGCATTTTTGTCATAAGCCGTTACAATATTCAAATGCGAAACTTGAAAAAATCTGTGAATACTGTCGCTAAAATCATCAGAATGCCGAATATCGGCAGGTGCCGTTATATGGAAGCTATACGAAGACGTAGGCATGCACCGCGAATTTTTAGCAATAGGTTGTAGTATCCATTGCGGACATCAAATACCAAATTTGAAACAATTCAGGTGAATAATTTCCTTAAAATCATCAAAAAACCGAATATCTGGAGGTAGCTCTATACGAAGACGTGGACCTGCACAGACAATTTTCTGTCATAGGCTTTAGCATCCATTTCGAACTTCAAATACCAAATTTCAAAACAATTCCGTTGAATAATGTCGCTAAAATCATCAAAATACCGAATATGGGGAGTTACCGTTACATGACGGCTATATGAAGACGTGGACCTGCACGGACTATTTTCTGTCATGGGTTGTAGTAGCCATTACGAACTTCAAATACCAAATTTGAAACAATTTCGGTGAATGATGTTGCTTAAATCACCAAAATACCGAATATCGGCAGGTACCATTATATGGGGGCTATACCAAAACGTGGATCTACATGGCCTATTTTCAATACAAAAAGTCCTGCAGACATAATATACATTTGAGTAAAATTTTATCAACCTACTTCAGTTCGTTCGGAAGCTAGAGTGATTTTCGCAGACGGACGGATATCGCTAGGTTAGGTTAGGTTAATGGTTGCGAGGTTGTATAAACAACCACTCCACTCGTAGACCTATTGGTCCATTTTGTTCATTCTAATTTAAGAAGATAGGAGAGTAGGATAGAGAGAAGAGAAGGAAATGAATAGCGGATATTGAAGAATCGAGAATCTGAATAAAGAGTAGAGCAGTTAGTAGGTTTGTATCCACTGTGTAATCAGCGTGTCGTCCTTAGCCATTTTAGTCTTCTGGCTAACTGAAGAATGACTGCTGGCTCGATGTCGGAGAGGAAGGACAAGTCTGGCAGAATTTGCTTACCCAATAGCCTCTGTCGCACCCCTATAAGATTTGGACAGTGGCAGAGTAAGTGATCAGGTTCTTCCTCGTCCTGGCAGAACCTGCAGTATTCAGTGTCGTCAACCCCCATTTCGATGCCATGGCCTTTATGTTGCAGTGTCCTGTAATTAGGCACAAGTCCAGCTTCGTCATGGATATGAGTGACCTTGATCTCCTTTCGGAGTTCACCGGCAAAATCTTTTTGGAGGCATTACATCCCCTTCCAGTTAGCCAGTTCTGTTGCAAGTTCCCAAGATAATGTTTATGTAGTATTTGGAAGAAGTGACATAATGGTGGCTTCACTCAGCTCTCAATCTTCAGATCTTATGATGAATTTATCGGCCGATTCATTGTCAGATATGTTGCAGTGTCCAGGGACCCAATAGAGTTTGACAAACGATTTAATCTTTTCCAGAGTATTCCAGCATTCCAGAACTGCCATAGATTTACAATCAAATCTGAATTTAGAGCCTTTAGGGCCGCTTGACTATCGACATACATAGTCACCGGTCCGTCCAGTTCATTGATTCTACTTGCCAGTAGCTCTATGGCCCACCTGACAGCAAAGATTAATGCTTGAAAAACGCAACAATCGTTGTTTAGTTTGAAGGATCGTCGGATACTTAGACTTTCACAGTAGACTCCAGCTGCCGTTCCACTTTCCATCTTTGACCCATCAGTATAGACAGCTATACCATTTAAAGGTAGAGTGTCGCGGGTCCAGATGTCTCTGTTAGCTATATGGATATCAAGTAATTCAAAGCTCTGCCTAGGTGATATATAATCGCTAGCTATAGCCTGATTTCCTATACTTTCCACATACTTGAGAATGAGGGAGGGAGTGTCCAAAGGTCTGACTCCGCCATTGTCTTAGCTCATTGAGTCGCAGGGCACAACTAGCAGCTTGTTACTCTACAAATAAACCTTACGGTTTTATATTGAGTAGGGTGTCTAGTGCGAATTGGGGTGTGCTCCTAAACGCGCCTGTAATTAGTAGCGATGCTACTCTTTGGACTTTATCAATGCTTTTACTGAAGATGGTTTTCCCTAAGGTGTGCCACCAAACAAGTCCCCCATAGGTTAGAATTGGTCGGACGACTGACTCATATAACCGTTTGATTATATGAGGCTTGAGTCCCCAGCTTTTCCCTATGGAGTTTTTGCAGGAATAAAGTTAATTAAGTCCCTCTTTGCTCGCTCCTCGTTCTTCCTCTTCCAGCTTTCTTAGTTTCTGGTCTAGGATGGTACCGAGATATTTGGTTCCGAAGAAAGGCTTAGCATAACACCATCAAGTATTGGTAGCTTAAAGTCTGGGATTTTCCGCTACCTGGTGAATAGTACGAGTTCAGTTTTTGATAGGTTCACGCCAAGTCCATTGCAGCGTGCTCATCTGCAGAGTCTAACTAGAGCTCCCTGCATAAGATCTGAAACAGTTTGCGAGAATTTCCCAGCAATCAGCAAGACCACATCCTGCCTGTTCCGCCGTGTTCCAGTTCGATTAGAATGTCATTTATCGCTAAAAGCCAGAGTAGACATCTATAGACATATATTTTGTGGGGTCTAAAATGTATATTTCGAGGTGTTACAAACGGAATGACAAACTTAATATACCCTCCATACTGTGGCGGAGGATATAAAAAAGTCTCATTTGATAGCTTTAATGTGCCTTCAAAATTATTTTAGAAAATCTGTTTCTTTGGCTCTAAAGCGGCTTGGCATCATGACATGGCAGATGTGGTGACTTATGATAAAGGGTTGTTACAGCTTAGTTTATAGCCTTTAAACGATTTTTCCTAATACATATTTTGTAGCCTGGTGTTTCTTTACAAGGTATTCTTTAAAAATCCAGATTTTGTAGCACCGATGGCCCTGCAAAATTTTTCTTATAAAAAACCACGTCTTATATAACCGAAGGCCTCAGAAAAAAATTTAAAATTACATTTTGGAACTTGATAAAATACAGAAAAAGTTTTTTAGCTCTGATGGGCTTTCAAAAGAAATATTAAAAAATTGATTTCGTGGGTCTGAAGGGTCTTAAAATTATTAAAATACTAATTTTGTAGCTCTATTGGTTTTAAAAATATTGATAAAAATCCATTTTTTGTACCTCTGAGGGTCCATCACAAAATATGCTTCCCGTTTTATAACTTTTGACTATCCTCAAAAAGTCTTGGAAAATTGGTTTTGTTTAAAATAGTAAATATCCACGTTTTATGGCTTTGAAGATCCTTAAAATATTCTTAAAAACCTCATCGGTCGTCTTGAAGGCATTAAAAAATCCCTCTACTGTACTTCCTAATGGCCTTAAATACATTTTGCAGCTCTCTTAAATCTATCCCAAATTTCTCTTAACTCTTTCCTAAAATTCTTATTCTTATTCCAGATAGGGAATTCTTTGTGACGAATAATTTGAAAGAATATCAAAAGATTTTATCCCTCAATTTGGCCGTGTGGATAAATAAGTTCATATCGAATTTGAATATACACATTGCTGAAAGTCCCCAACAACAAAATGAACAACAGCAGCAGCAGCAAATGGCACCTCCAATGTCCGATGGAATTCTTCACGAAATGCCACAATCTTTTCTACCCCTTGCTGATTATATTCCCTATACCAGTAGCTCGGAAACTAATTCCATAGATCAAAGGCAAGCATGCTCCAAGATAAAGCAACAAACCAATAAGACCAAATGATTTTGGGCCAAAAGAAACACCATTGAGTTGGGCATAATGTTTGCCAGCACCAACTTACCCTTGATTTGTGACCACGTCAGACCCTTGAAAATATCATTGTTTAACTGTTTGGTACTGTGATTTTTCAAAATTTCCACTGGCATACAGCGAAACAGGAAGTGTAATAAATTCTGTAAAGGATATCAAGTTGTTAGCTCTTTTTTAATATTAGAATATTTTCCAAAATCCCACCTCTTCATATTTGTTTTCATGCAAGAACGTTGTATAAACTGAACGTAAAGCCACGGGAGATTTGGCACAGGCATAGATAATGCAATCCCACAGCATAAGATATGAGAAGGCCTCATGACGATCCACCGGCTGCATTTCAGATATTTCGGTAAGTTTGAAACTGAAACGAAACGAAACGAAAAGAAGAACATGAAAGGCTTTCCGAGAATTACATATGAAGCTCCTCCTCCATACCTAAATTCTTGTAAATATTTCCTTATGGGTCCATCATAACGTCCTATATAGTCCTCAAAACGATTAAGGAAATGCCATTTAATTTCCTGATGTTCATCCTTATCGATTTGTTCCGATTTAATGTCATACATTTCAATATCATCAGCCACAAAGTAGGGTGTTAGATTGCGCATCATATGCATGCTTAGGGTGCGTAGGGAATGGACAGGACTTGAGAGATTTTTTAGCAAAAAATTACAAACATGATCCAACGTCATTTGGCTGGAAGATTTGCAGAACTGAAAGCAAATTTATTAACGCAAGGAAACCAAAAAAGGTATTTCATTTGATTACCGTGTAGATAACTCCATAGTCAAGATATTCCATGGTGGCCGTTAATTCCACAAGAAATACCTGCCAACAATCACTAAAACTGTCCTTGATATCTGAAATGGAAACACAAAATAAAATACTTCTAAAAATATTCGATAGTTTCATTTTTCGAGATGAGCTCTTAATGGTCTAAGGAGGTGGCATTGAAAATAGGAACCCAGAAAAGTTCGATTCTACAAAAGTTCCCCCCACATTACCTTGATATTGACATATCTTGTAGAATGTTTTGAATATGGTCAAATAAACATCACGCGAGAATACATTCAGCCATTCATCATAGACATTTTTAAGAAGTTCTGTGGAACTCTTTTGCTTCTCTTCGTGGAAAAATTTTGTGAGAGCGGCAAACAATTTGAAGACTTGCAGTGTAAAATATAAGCTCTGCAAAAGAAATTATAAGGAATTAATATCTATCAAAATTTTGGTAAATATCCTTACCTTTTGATCGGCATTTTCCAAGGCATAGTCCAGAGACTTGGTAACACTCAATATCCAATGGCCCAAACCGATGCGTATGACATCCCAATTTTTTATCGTCAACTGATGGGGTATACACTCGAGAGCACACGACAGCAATTTGATGTATTCCACGGCATTTAGAATTGTGGGTATTTCTTGTTTGAAAATTTCGCTAAAAAAAGAGGGAAAAAAATAAAAAAAATAAATTTAAAAAAATCCAAATTTGCGAAGGTTAGAAATCCCATTTAAAATCGCAAAATTTTTGGTGAGATGAAAAAACTGCTATCAACTTCAGTCTACTTTCATTTCTAAACCACTCGTCCGACAGCTGTTAAAATTATTCCAGTGACAGCTCAGTATATTGTTTACAAGCGTACAAAAGCATTTTGGTAAGAATTTTCAACAAAAAAAGTTATTCGCGATGGAGTTCAAGCGTGATAGTGTGATTTCTTTATATTTGGCTGGAAAACCAGAAGTGGCCATCGTTAGAGTACTCCAGCATTTAAATGTGAATAAATCTTTTGTGTTTCGTATCATCGCTCATTATCGTGATACTGGTAGCGTAGCCCGACGTCAAGGAAGTGGACCGAAGAAGAAAACAGAATCATCAGCAGAAATGGTTCGAAAAGTAAAGAAGCGACCGCGTCAAAGTGGCCGAAAAATGGCTTATGAGCGGAACATATCGCAATATTCTATTCGGTAAATATTGAAAAATGAGCTCGGGGTGAAGCCATTGAAATTCCAAAAAGTGCAAGAACTTACACCGCAACCGGAAGAAAATAGACTCAAAAGAGCTTAAGATTTGCTGCCCTTTGTCCGAAAGTGGTGATCTGCCGAATTTGGGTTTCTCCTATGAGAAAACATTTGTTGTCCCGCTGTTTGTAAACAAACAAAATGATCGCATTTACTTGCCAAAGAGGTTGGCCACCAGAACTCAAGCGCCAACCTTGGTTGTTGTTGTTGTAGCAGCTCATCTGTGTTCAGTCCAGTCTCAAAAAGGATGCAACCTGTATGGGTTGTGTCCATAACGAGACTGGAGTTAGGTGAGTAGGCCTTGCTGGACAGCGAAATAGGTGCAACGTGTCATGTGGTCCTGTGCCATAAGCTGGACGGATGTTCTGCACATCGCTGTTAATCCGGGCCCAATAGGAATTTAGGCGGCTACACCATTCGGATCGTAATTGAGCCAAAACTACTCGGGTCTGTCGGGGCAGCTCTCGTTCTTTAGGCGCGACGGGAGGGGGATGGTCTCCTAGCACAGTATTCACTCTATTATCCTTCAATGACTTCTGAGACCGCATTAGAGAGAATACTATTCAGTCCCGCTTGATAGGACTGTTGATATAGAGGTTCTCTCTTATACCTCTGCACTTCTCTCTCTGAGTCATGAAGATATTTCCTAACGTGCCTGGGCGGAGGTTCCCTATCCACAAGATGGTGATTCGGATGGCTTTGTCTATAAGACCCAAGCAGGTATTGCATTAGCAGCATTTTGTTATGCTGTCGCACCGGTAAGACCTTCGCCTCCTCATGTAGGTGATCGGCAGGTGCCATGAGGAGGCACCTTGTTGCGGTTTTAAGGGCGGCATTCTGGCAGGACCAGCTATGGTGATGGTGTGGGCCGCCATAACAGCCGATGGTCGCTCTCCGCTCGTATTAATCGTCGACCGTGGCATCAGAATAAATGTCGAATATTATCGCGAAAATATTCTGAAGGGTGGTATTAAAGCCTTCGGCACGCAAACATTTTGCCCGCAGACCTTGGACATTCCAACAGGACTAAACACCATAGCACTCAGCACGCGCCACCCAAGAATGGTTACAAAATGCGGTTCCTCACTTCATTTTCAGCGCACAATGGCCATGGTGTGATGGTGGTGTGGCCCGCCATAATAGCCGATGATCGCTCTCCGCTCGTATTAATCGACCGTGACATCAGAATAAATGCCGAATATTATCGCGAAAATATTCAGGAGGGTTGTATTAAAGCCTCGGGCACGCAAACATTTTGGCCGCAGACCTTGGACATTCCAACAGGACTCAGGACCATGCACTCGCCTTCAGAACGCGCCACCCATGAATTGTTACAAAATGACGTTCCTCGCTTCATTTTTAGAGCACAATCGCCACCAAAATCTCCGGATACCAATTCGTTGGACTATTGTGTCTGGAGTATTTTGGAAAGCAGGGTTGGCATTAAAAAATATCACCTCAAGCAAGCGCTTCGCTGGGAATGGGCCAAAATACTTTCGGGCAACGTGTGATGGTTTCATTGGCCGTTTGAAGGCCATCATTAGTGCCAAAGGTGACCAATTCGAACAAATCTAAACCAATTCTAAAATTTGATGGTATTTCCGACCTTTTTGCTTTCATTCAATAAAATTTAGAAAAAAAGTAAAAATTATGACATTTGACTTTGTTGCAGTTTTTTTTTATCTCACCCGTATCTCACCCGCCATTTACCTTTGATAGAGTAACAAATCCTTTTGCGTGTGCAACTTATCCGAATGTTCTGTGATAAACTGCACGGTTACGGATATAATATTTTGATCGGATTTTTCATTATAGGCCAGGGAGAAATTATTCTCCAAAAGAGCACGAAAGACGCCAGCCTTTATCCAAATATCGTTGGGTTCACAACGCATTATGGGACATTGGAGATCTATGGTTTTGGCTTCCAATTTCGGCAGAAGATATTGTAAGGCTCCCATATAGGCTTTGAATGTTTTCTTTTGGGCAAAATATTCCTGCAGATCTTCGGCCAAGAGCAGCAGGCCACTTTCTTCAAACTGCGAATATTGTTGGATGTTCACCAGATAGGGCAGGGAACGATAATATGCCAAATTCTGCTCCTTGGCCGATTCTTCCATGAGTAATTCCTTTAGGGTTATACTTAATTCACCTGAATTTCGCAACAGGAATTGGACTTTCTCCGAAAATTCCAAACACAGTGATTCGATGTTTGTATCCAGGGCATCAGCGCATTGATTTATCAAAGAGTCTCCGGCAGCTGCTATGTTAATGTAGTTCAGCAATTCCATTTGTAAATAATTTGACCATACTTTAAGTAGATTTTCATTTGGATCACAGTAATCTTCGGTTATTTCATCATCGTTGCCTTCGTTTTTATCCTGTTGTTGGGTGGATTCTTGGGGTTTACCACACACCAATTTACTGAGTATTGAAAAATTCAGTAGAGACCGTTGCAGGGTGCCTTGCAACTTTGCCAGTTTATTAACATGGCCGGTATAGCCTGAGCTCGGCGTGGCCAATCCCTTTAGGGATTCTATAAAAAGGCAGACATTCAAGAGTTCATTTACTCCATTGGTGTCTTGTTTCAATATCGTCTGAAGAATATGATCAATTTTATTGTATCTTTCTTTTTCGTCGGATATATTCTCCGTGGAACATGTCACAAACTTGCCGGTTGCTTCTGCTATGGAATCGATGTTGGTTGGAGTAAGATTCGTTTTCTCCCCTTGCCTATCAATGATGAGCGAACATTTCTCTAGCAATTCGTTGTCCAAAATTATATCCTCACTTGATAGGGCATCCTGCCAGCATGTGGTGATTTCCCATAGAGTATCTTCAGATATGTAATCGCTTACAGATTTTTGTATGCTAAATGTAAAGAGGCGTAGAAACACCTCGTGTTTTACCTCCAGGGAGGCATTTTCTTTGGAGCACACCACCGGCATAATTTGGGCAATAAAACTGCCACAGGCATCAACATCTGTTTCTTGATCTGGATCCTCTTCGGCATTAGTTTCGTCTGGACCATCCGTTAGGGGTTTTGATAATGTCATTAGAATCTTATCCACCGTTTTGGGGGATATTAATATTTCTCCCGTATCAGTTTCAAAGAAACATTTATGCAAAAGATTGAATAGATCTTTGGAATTATTCTTCACCACATCCTCGGCTACTTTGCTAATGATATTTGTGATTTCCTCTTGGCAGAGTATTGTGCGTATTTCGGGCTCAACACATAGCGGATGGGATAGCAAACGATTTAATACCAACGTTTGGGTCAGGTGATGGGAAATCTAAAAATAAAAAAAATAAATAAATTTGAAAAATATATCCAGATTTTCTCCCACCTTTATCAACTCCTTATCGATGTATTCGAAACGTTTTGCCTTCTCACAGTGTTGGAGAATCTCAAAAATAACATCTACCACAATTTCACACGCCTCATTGTCCATAAACGATGAGCTGAGAAGTTGAATAAATGCCTTGAGTGCTCCATCCAAACTCTCGTCGGCCGCACATAGCTTCGCAAAGAATTGCCTATCGTTAAACATATTACACAGTATACGTACATTTTTAATGTATTTCGATGTCTTAAGATTTTGAGTTTTTTCCATGCAAATTCGTAACAATTGTAAAACCAATTGTTTCAGTTCTTTTTGTCTAAAATCAGCAGCCACCTGGCTGGATTTGGGGGTATGTGGACGTTCTGATTTTGTGGAGTTTTCGTCGTCTTCTTTTTCGGTTTCGGCAAACTTAACCTTGTGTTCTTCTAGACTTGGATTGGCCACATACAAATCATTGATCAGCTCTATGACTCTTTCCAAATAGAGTTCACTGACATTTGGCTGGTTAAGGCCCTCTGTGGTAATTTGGAACAGGGATTGCCAAAATTTATCCAACAACAACTGATAGATTTCTGAAGTTGTATGCTGCCGATCGAAAAATGCCACCAGGGTACAGGCATTTTGAAAAATATATCTTGTGGATATACTATTCGAGCTGCTGAGACACACCATTAATGGTTGCATGACATTTTCCTGTAACAAATACTCAAGAAGTTCCCGATTTGTATTAGAAGAGTCCGTCGTTTGTTCTTTGGAAGCATTGTTGATTTTTTGATTTATATATCGCAGACATTCAAAATAGGTTTTGATGATCATGATGTTATCCTGCTTTGATATTTGGGAGGAATCGCTGACAATCACACCCTTGAGGTTGTCAAAGAACTGTTTAATGAAATTATGGTATTCTTCAATATCCTGGGTAACATGGGAAAGTTGGGAGAAGAAGGGTAAGACGTTGGGGCAAATGGCTTGGGCATTGCGATTGAAGGCATTTCGCAGTAAATGACCAAATTTGGGCCAGACTTTTTCACGAAAATCAATTGTTTGGGACCTGAAAACCAAAACGAGAAGAAATTAACATTTGGAAACCCTTTACCACCATACATACCAATCTTGGAAATTTGCCTGAATCAACAAAATACAACCCCAGACATGGGGTGCAACCAACGGATCGGATTCATCAATGTTTTGGAATGACACAGTGGTGACCTGGGTTTTGTGCTGTTCAACAATTTCCAAAAGCTGTGGGCTTTGTAGTAAATGATAGATGAACTCAAACCAGGCAGCCCTAGAAGAAAGCAATGATAAGCTATAAAAAAAATAATCTCCCAAAACAACTTACTTTATGGCATTCAGCTTATTCTTGGCAAAGCTGAAAAATTTCTGATGTTCCAACAACTTTGCCAGCAATTCTTTAATCTTACTTTGATCTTCCGCCTTTTGGGTGTGTTCCACAAAGAAGGACAACTCCTTGAGGCTGCAAACGACAACACGTTGATATTTCTGCTCAGCTTCTTCGGGTGTTAAACTTTTGCCCGTTGACAACGTGGCCGCCGTGTGAAATGTCAAATTCCGGCTGGCATAATCAATAATATCCACTTGGCAATGCAGACAAACATCTGTTAGCTTTGAGGAGAATGTCTCATTAAAACAACTACTGGCCATGCTGGCTGCCGGTGCATAATTATCATATTGACTAGCCAGCCAGACTGGTACCAGTTGCTTCAAATATGGAGCTATTGCCTTCTTGCATTTTGTGACGAGAATTTGTAGAACTGTCTGCGTTAATTCCCTCACTGAATGCTCTGGATCTGTGGCCAAATTTTGATAGAATTTTGGCCATAATGGTAATATGGTTTTCAGCTCATCCATATCAGATTGATTGATTAAATCAATGAATTCTTGCAGGGCCTTTTTCTTTGTCATTGGATCTTTTTTGGACAGCTTCTTTAGGGTCAATTGGTATGGTGTCGAAATGCTGGCATCAAAGGTTTCGGGCATTTGTTCAGCTGCCGCTCCAAAGCCGGGTACAAATGGTATCAAACCCAAATCCGAATGGGCTGAAAAGCCCACAAACACGGGCTGGGTTGTACCCAATAACTCCGCACTACGTGCCGAACTGGATGGCTGAAAATAGATAATGCAATTTTGTACTAAAGACTTTCATGGTGAAATTGAAATCTCGGGAGAGTGAGGTTTTGGTATTTAGGCGTCGGGACGGTCTGTCTGGTTTCGCTGCTCTCCCCATTCACCAATTAGCTTGGTCACATTCCATACCTTCACGTTATTCTTGGTTCTTTGTGCATGCTTAGTTTTGCCACCCATGTCTAGTGCTTGCTTTTTATGCGATTTATTTTTCTATCTTAACAAATACAACAAATGCCAAAGCTCCAGCAAGTTGACAAAATAAAGGGAAAACGACGGCAGGATCCGAGTGCGGCTCTGATGTTTCCCTTTATCGAATATGAATCATGGCGCAATAACAAGGTGTTCATGCAAATTTTAAAAACCAGATGGAATGTCAAAAATTTTTTTACAATTCTTGGCTTTTTGTTTATATTTTGTTTTGTGATTTCAATCACAATAATGCTTTTCGTCATTAAATCAGTTGGCTTGGAAGGGGAACCTTATAGTGTCAGGCCGACAAGACCAGCTGATTTAACTCGTGTTGTTAAAATGCATGCCAGGCCATTGTGTAGCTTTAAGTCGTGGCATTTTAAAAGATATAATGAAATATCAGAGCTGCACTCGAAACCTGCCGCCGTTTACTCATATAATTTGACGTACGACGCATGGAAACGTTTGGACGATTTGTTATCTCCTTGTTCCGATATTTGCTTAGCGATATGGCATCTCTGAAAATAAAGAAACATGGTGTGAGACATGCGAGCGATAAAGATGAAGAATCAAAATAAACGGGCCACAAATTGTGAGGAACAATAACAAAACAGAGAGAATGAGAGAGGCCGCTGGGAGAAGGGTTCTAACATGTCAATAAAAACCTGGGCAAAGTAGGGTTACACAGGTCGCATAAATGTCTAATTATTAATCAGTGTAACATGGTAGAAGAATATAGGTAGACGTATCGACGCAGCTGCTGAGACAATGAAATGTCAAACAAATTTTGGAATTGAAAATGTTGAATGAAAATTTTTTTTAATTTGTAAAAATTGTTGAAAAAGGCATTTTATAATAACCTCCGAATGACGTCGTATAAGAAAACATATAAAAAGCTACTTATATTTGAAAATAAATTAAAAAATTTTTGACATATCAATGCTCCCAAGCGTTAATGCATCTACCTGTATTCTTCTGCCATGAGCGTAATATAGCCGTACAGCTCTTATATAGTAAGACAATACTGTTTTGTCCAAATTTTTTACAATTAATTGCCTATTAACACCGAAAATCATGGCAAAACAATTAAGGTAAACTATTTGCCCTTATATACCCTCTAAATGGCGTGAAAAAAAAAACAATTTTTTTGGAAAATAAATGTAAATTTCTTACCAGCGGTACGCCCATACTTAAGGAAGAATGACAAAATATACATTTGACAATGAAGGGACAAAAAATAAAAAAATGTAATCGTTTGATAACATGAGATTACCTTGGTAATTGTACCATGCCGAAAATACGTAATACGTCTGTAACTGAATTGGAAATAATTTCAAATTATTTTATTTTTTATTCAAAACAATACACACACTATGTATATGTTTTGCCAGAATAGGGGCGCCAAAAGAAAAAATTGTATTTAGAAGGTAGATTTGTTCTACCTTCTGTAATTGTGGCATGGGTACAACCCAGCTTGTATTTGTTGGCTTTCCAGCCCATTCCGAATTGGAATCGATACCACTTAAGGTGACAACGAAGCTGGCTGTTGACTTAAGCCAGTAAAAGGAGCATTTTATGTATTCTCACCTTTAGAGCGGAAGTTAAATATATGTCCAAAACCTTTGATGCCAGCATTTTAGGTCGAATAATCAGGCATTTCCCCACAATTACTTTGCCGTTATTTGATTAAGAGTACCTGCCTGGGATAAAAAAAAATTAGATCGATCCGAGCATAGCATAAGCCCACATTTTGCCTGAAGCCCCGTTGCCGTACCCATAGTAAAAATAGTTTACTTCTCCCTAAACAAGATTGACGCTAACTTCTACAATTTGTATCCTCCCTCCTATAAACAGAAAATTTGGTATTTCATTCAATTTCATTTTCATTTTTTTATATCCAAAACGAAAAATCTGTCATCATAGAAATATTTTTGCAGATTTGGGACCGAGCATTATATTAGTCAATCCAAAGTATATCCAAAAGGAAAAATCCGTCATCCTAGAAATATTTTTGCAGATTTGGGACCGAGCATTATATTAGTCAATCCCATGGTAGAAGAATATAGGTAGATGCATCAGCAGCACTCGCGAACGTTAAAACATCTCCAAAAATTAATGGATTTTAAAAGCTTTTAATATACGACGCCAATCGTAGTTTGTTATGACATGCATTTTCAACAATTTTTAAAAATTTCGGTAATTTTCATTAAAAAAATTTAATTCCAAAAATTGATTTGACAGCTCATTGTATCAGTAGCTGTGTTGATGCGCCTACCTGTAGCATTTTATTATATTATTATCCTTTGGGGATAACTTTTTCTACCACCTAATTTCCCATAACACACTTAGTGCACCCTATGCCTTTTTCGTACCTTGTGATTCCTAACAGTTGTAAACAAAAACACGTGCAACAGAGTTCGTTAGCTTCTTGTCTCTTGTTTTCCATTGGAATTTTCTTGAAAATATGACAAAATTCATTACCTATTTCAATTTGTGTCCCATACCAGAGCCCAAGGATTTCTTGGGCATATCCCCGGATAAAGATGAAGGCAATATTATTACCACATTGGGCAAAAACATTATTATTGTTATCAAGGTGAGATGAGTGGAGTGGCCTCAGATTGGTTCTTTATGCAATAGTGAATGAAAATTTTTCATTTCTTGTAGATTTCCACACAAAAACAAATACGCAGCTTCTCGGTCTTGGAAAAGTTATCATCAAAGGTGGTCTACGATAAGAAATCGGAGAAATATGTTGGGGTGTTTGGTAGCAAATATCTGAGATGTTGGGATGAAGGGACGACAGATGTAAACAAATGCAAGAAATTGAAGGTGAGATGCACCTAGCTATAGCTTATTACTAAATGCTCTAATGGCCTTCTTTTAGTTCCAAAAATACATTACAAATTTGGTTAGCTGCGGTGATGATACTTTTGTGCTCTACGTTGATGGCTCTTGTGAACTGTTGGCCAAAGCCTTGGAATCACGCAAAGAAGATGCTAATATTACCACGGCCCAGCAATTGGAGTTATCGAATAAGTTAAGTTTTAGCAATGCCAGCGTTTTTGTTTTGGCCAATGGCTCAAAAATATTGACATATTTCGAAAGAAACAGTTTAAATGGAGATTACTACTTGGTACGTTTACCATTGTCCGAAAATGGTGCTGAGCTTGAAGCACCAAAACGCTTCAAACTGTCGAGAGAAAATTTAAGTGTAACTGTTGCTGGTGCGGCCGTAATTGAAGGTGGAGGTGTACCAGCGTTATTGACAATATGTGAGTACTCCATTTGGTATGAGAATTCATAGGAATTTTATTAAATTTGAATTCTTTCTAGGGTCCGATAAACGCATGTTCATATTGAATTTATCTGATGATGTTTGCCCTGAACGTTCCCCGGGAAATTTTGTATCTGTACTAACGCAACTGAAAGTGGACAGTCCGTTGTCTGTAATGGGCATATCGAAACATTTTGTGGCCATTTATGGTGCCAATCATGGCCAGGAGGGTGCCTCACTTTTGCTCTACAACACCCAGTTTAAGGTGATCAAGACAAAACAGTTCTTCAAGGTCTACTTTAACTATTCCAAGTTGTGGTCGGTCAATGATCATATTATACTGGCGATGGGACAAAATCTTTCGGTGGTGAAATATCAAGTTCTCAAAGAAGTCTTGTCGGAATTGGTGGGCACCCAGGTGTCAAATGATTATCAAACGTCCATAGAAATCGATCATATCAATGAGGAAGACATGATGGAAGAGTGTTTACAGTACAGCAAAGATTTTCAAACACCAAATAGCAATGAAGTTGCGAATGCAGATGCCGATGAAGCTGGAAAACCTTTAAAAATTCAAGAAGCCGATGGTCTGACAATTCCCTATATGGGCGTAGAAGATTTTGACAAAGAATTAAATGCCTTACGACAATTACACTTGCATGTTGATGTGGTTAATGATAGCCAATTGGATGCTGTCCACATTAATTTGATGTCAAATCACAATGATGCTGGTTTCTCCTGTTCGGAAATACAATTGATTGCCCAACAATTGGAACGTGTGGGTGCCAGCGAACATGAAATAAGTGAAAAACTTTTAACTGTCCTCATGAAAGCAAATCTATTGAAAGATATTGGTGTGTGTTTAAGGCGTTACACAAACATATCCGAGAAGATATTGTCGAAAACTTTAAATTACATTTTAAAGAGATACAGTAGTGCCTCAGGAGAAAGCAATGAGAAAGAGACCAAAGTAAATGGAATATCACAAGAAGAAGATATGGAAACTGAAGGTATTCTATCACGAAAGCCGGGCAATACTTCCGAAATCCAAGATATCCTCAACACACTCTTGGCATGTTCCTTTGATGCCGAGACAATTGCCAAGTGCATACGTCAAGATATGGAATATAAAGAGGTAGTTATTATATTGGAACATCTTTATAATATGATTACATCGGACGACATGTACCTGGAAGAACGTCCGGCGTTGTATGAGACAAGTACAGAATATGAATTACAATTATTGCGTTGGTTCGGTGTATTCTTGAATTCCCATTTCCAAAAGTTGGCCCTCTCCAAAGAAGTTGCTCTAATTGAATTACTCTTCAAATGGCATGAACTATTCCAAAGTTATCGACAAGAAATCGTGGAATTGCAAAACGTTGCAGCGCTACTCCATAATATTGTGGAACGTAGGACAGTGGCAAAAGAGAAAACTTCTTCGAAATGGTATTCCATAGAAGAGGTGTATTTGTTTTAAAAAATAAAATACGTTGCTAAATACAAGAGGAGTTTTTCAAATTCCGTTTTAGTACGGGGGAAAGGGGACATTATGGCTAGCTGGCAAGATCTCTTCCTAGTTACTCATTGAATTTGAAAGGGAGAACTCTGCCATGCAATGAAATCATAAACTGAGTTTTCAATTGGAATGAGATGTTCTGTTTGCAGCAGGTCCAGCATTTTTATTGAATGGAAAATCTGCTAATTTGTTAAGGACAAATGTAAACATCTGGAGTGCCATAGAATGTAGAATCAGGACCACTTTTCAAGGCTCCTAATTTGACATGGACAGATTCAAACATCTTCGGTTTATGGAGTGTTTGACAATATTTCCCCAGTATTTTCTTCTTAAAA